CTCCCAAATAAAGCCCTAAAACCTCCCTAAATCCCCTAAAATCGCCCGGATTTTGCCCCAAAAAGCCCCAAAATTGGCGTTTTCAGACGGGGGTGACTCAAAGACACCCGAGGACCTCGAGACCACCAAAAATCCCTAAAATACCCCTAAACCCCCCACATAAAAAGCCCTAAAACCTCCCTAAATCCCCTAAAATCGCCCAAAATTTGATGTTTTCAGACGGGGGTGACTCAAAGACCCCCGAGGACCCCGAGACCACCAAAAATCCATAAAATTCCCCTAAACCCCCCACATAAAAAGCCCTAAAACCTCCCTAAATCCCCTAAAATCACCTGGATTTCGCCCCAAAAAGCCCCAAAATTTGGTGTTTTCAGACGGGGGTGACTCAAAGACACCCGAGGACCTCGAGACCACCAAAAATCCCTAAAATACCCCTAAAGCCCCAAATAAAACCCCTAAAACCTCCCTAAATCCCCTAAAATCGCCCGGATTTCACCCCAAAAAGCCCCAAAAATTGGCGTTTTCAGACGGGGGTGACTCAAAGACACCCAAGGACCTCGAGACCACCAAAAATCCCTAAAATACCCCTAAACCCCCCACATAAAAAGCCCTAAAACCTCCCTAAATCCCCTAAAATCACCCAGAAAGCCCCAAAAGTCCCAAAAATTGGTGTCCTCAGACGGGGGTGACTCAAAGACACCCGAAGACCCCGAGACCACCAAAAATCCCCCTAAATATAATACCCTAAATAAAATACCCCTAAACCCCCCACATAAAAAGCCCTAAAACCTCCCTAAATCCCCTAAAATCACCCCCCAAAAAAACCAAAAATTGGCGTTTTCAGACGGGGGGACTCAAAGACACCCGAGGACCCCGAGACCACCAAAAATCCATAAAATACCCCTAAACCCCCCACATAAAAAGCCCTAAAAGCTCCCTAAATCCCCTAAAATCGCCCTGATTTCACCCCAAAAAGCCCCTAAATTGGCGTTTTCAGACGGGGGTGACTCAAAGACACCCGAGGACCTCGAGACCACCAAAAATCCCTAAAATACCCCTAAACCCCCCACATAAAAAGCCCTAAAACCTCCCTAAATCCCCTAAAATCGCCCCGATTTTGCCCAAAAAATTGGTGTTTTCAGATGGGGGTGACTCAAAGACACACGAGGACCTCGAGACCACCAAAAATCCCTAAAATACCCCTAAACCCCCCACATAAAAAGCCCTAAAACCTCCTAAATCCCCTAAAATCGCCCGGATTTCGCCCCAAAAAGCCCCAAAATTTGGTGTTTTCAGACGGGGGTGACTCAAAGACACCCGAGGACCTCGAGACCACCAAAAATCCCTAAAATACCCCTAAAGCCCCGAATAAAAACCCCCTAAAACCTCCCTAAATCCCCTAAAATCGCCCCAAAAAGCCCCAAAATTTGGCGTTTTCAGACGGGGGTGACGCGGCGGCGGCAGCAGCGGCAGCTGAGGCAGCGCAGCAGCGCCAGGCTCAGGTGGAAAGCGGGGCCGAGGTCGAACAGGAGGCGCTGGAAGGTTCGGACGCCGAGGTCCCCGCGGGGTCGGCGAAGCGCAGGGCGAGGAGGGGGGAATAGAGGGGGTTGGTGGGGGTCCGGAACGGGGGGCGGCGGGCGCCGATCACCGACACGATGGCCTGGAAATGGGGGGGGACGGGGAAGGGGGGAGCAGAAAGGGGTTTGTGTAAAAAAAAACAAGAAAAATCTCTGAAAAATTGTAAAAAAACCACCAAAAATCCCCCAAAAAATCACCCAAAAATCGCCTCAAAAGCCCCAAAGATGGGGGGCGGGGGGTGCCCATCACCGACACGATGGCCTGGAAATGGGGGGGACGGGGAAGGGGGGAGCAGAAAGGGTTTTTGTAAAAAAACAAAAAAAATCTCTGAAAAATCGCCCCAAAATTGTAAAAAAACCGCCAAAAAATACACAAAAAATCACCCAAAATTCCGAAAAAATCCCCCAAAAATCCCCCAAAAATCACCAAAAAATCCCAACCAGGTAGCCAAAAGAAATCCCCAAAAATTCCACCAAAAATTCCCCAAAAAATCACCCAAAAATCCCCAAAAATCACCCAAAAATCCCCTCAAAAACCCCAAAGATGGGGGGCGGCGGGCGCCGATCACCGACACGATGGCCTGGAAATGGGGGGCACAGGGAAGGGGGAGCAGAAAGGGGTTTGTGGAAAAAAAACAAAAAAAAATCTCTGAAAAATCGCCCGAAAATTGTAAAAAAAAACTCCAAAAATCCCCCAAAAAATCACCCAAAAATCCCCTCAAAAGCCCCAAAGATGGGGGGCGGCGGGCGCCGATCACCGACACGATGGCCTGGAAATGGGGGGCATCCCCCAAAAAATCACCGAAAAATCCCCTCAAAAGCCCCAAAGATGGGGGGGCGGGGGGTGCCCATCACTGACACGATGGCCTGGAGAGGAGGGGGGCACAGGGAGGGGGAGAGCAGAAAGTTAAAAAAACCGAAAAAAATTAAAAAAAAAAAAGAAGTGATAGATGCTAAAATAATCCGCCGAAAAAATCGCCAAAAAAAAGAATCGCCATAAAATCCCCCCAAAATTCCAAAAAAATCTCCAAAAAATCCACCAAAAATCCTGGAAAAATCCTCCAAAAAAATCGTCCTAAAAACACCCAAAAAATCGCCATAAAACCACCAAAAATCGCCATAAAACCCACAAAAAAATCCCCCAAAAAAATCCCAAATTTCCCCCAACTCCTGACCTGCGCCACCTCCTCGGGGCTCTGGCCGAAGGTGTTGAACACATCGCGGCTGGCGGGCAGGAAATGCCCCAAAAATCACCACAAAACCCACAAAAAATCCCCAAAAAAATCCCCAAAAATCCCCCCGCAAACGAAATCCCCAAATTGTCATAAAAAACTCCAAAAAGCTCAAAAAAATCCTAAAAAAATTAAAAAAAAAAACCCAAAATTCCTCCACGTGCTCACCTACGCCCCCCTGCTGGCTGGGGGAGGAAATGCCACCAAATCGCCTCAGAAATCGCCTCAGAAATCGCCATAAAAACCCCCCAAAAATCGACATAAAACCCCCAAAAAAACCCCAAAAAACCCCAAATTTTCCCCAAATTTCCCCCAAATCCTGACCTGCGCCACCTCCTCGGGGCTCTGGCCGAAGGTGTCGAACACGTCGCGGCTGGCGGGCAGGAAATGCCCCAAAACTGCCCCAAAAATCACCATAAAACCCACAAAAAATCCCCAAAAAATCCCCAAAAATAAAAAAAATCCCTAAAATTGCCCTAAAAACCCCAAAAAGCTCAAAAAATCCTAAAAAATAAAAAAAAAAACCCAAAATTCCTCCACGTGCTCACCTACGCCCCCTGCTGGCTGGCGGAGGAAATGCCACCAAATCGCCTCATAAACCGCCTCAGAAATCGCCATAAAAACCCCCAAAAATCGCCATAAAAACCCCAAAAAAACCCCAAAAAACCCCAAATTTTCCCCAAATCCTGACCTGCGCCACCTCCTCGGGGCTCTGGCCGAAGGTGTCGAACACGTCGCGGCTGGCGGGGCAGATAAACCTCGCGGAAGTAGCGCAGGGTCTCGGGGTCGGTGCCGGGAAATTCGGATTTTTCCACCTCCTGCAGGACCCTTGCGCTCGAACTCCGTGTTCACCGGGCCCGGCTCCACCAGGGACACGCTGCGGTTTTTTTGGGGCTTTTTTTGGGGTTTTTGGGATTTTTGGGGTTTTTGGGGGGTTTTTTGGCGGTTTTTTGGCGGTTTTTTTGGCGGTTTATGGGTATTTTTATGGGGATTTTGAAGGTTTTTTGGGGGATTTTTGAGGGTTTGTGTGGGGTTTTTATGGGGATTTTTTTGGGGTTTTTTTGGGGTTTTTTGGGGGTTTTTCCGGCATTATTTAGGGGTGATTCGGAGCCATTTTTGGGGGTGATTTTCCAGTGATTCCGAGGGGGTTTTTGGGGTAATTTGGGGGTAATTTCCAGCTTAATTTTGGGGTGATTCGGGGCCATTTTTGGGGTGATTTTCTGGTGATTCGGGGGCCCATTTTTGGGGTGACTTTTCCAGTGATTCCGAGGGGGTTTTTGGGGTGATTTCGGGCGATTTTTGGGGTGAATTTTCCAGCGATTCCAAGGGGTTTTTTGGGGTGATTTGGGGCCATTTTTGGGGTGATTTTCCAGTGATTCCGAGGGGGTTTTTGGGGTAATTTTGGGGTGATTTTGGGGGCGATTTGGGGGTAATTTCCGGCATTATTTTGGGGTGAGTTCGGGCGATTTTTTGGGGTGATTTTCCAGTGATTCCGAGGGGGGTTTTGGGGGTAATTTCCGGCATTATTTTGGGGGTGAGTTCGGGCGATTTTTGGGGTGATTTTCCAGTGATTCCGAGGGGGTTTTTTGGGGGTGATTCGGGGCAATTTTTGGGGTGATTTTCTGGTGATTCGGGGGTGATTTTGGGGGGGATTTTGGGGTGATTATGGGGTGATTTTGGGGGTAATTTCTGGCATTATTTTGGGGTGATTTGGGGCCATTTTTGGGGTGATTTTCCACTGATTCCGAGGGGGTTTTTGGGGTGATTTGGGGAGATTTTTGGGGTGATTTTCTGGTGATTCGGGGCCATTTTTGGGGTGACTTTTTCCAGTGATTCCGAGGGGGTTTTTTGGGGTGATTTCGGTCGATTTTGGGGGTAATTTCCGGCATTATTTTGGGGTGATTTCGGGCGATTTTTGGGGTGACTTTTCCACTGATTCCGAGGGGGTTTTTGGGGTAATATGGGGGTAATTTCCAGCTTAATTTTGGGGTGATTCGGGGCCATTTTTGGGGTGATTTTCTGGTGATTCGGGGCCATTTTTGGGGTGATTTTCCAGTGATTCCGAGGGGGTTTTTGGGGTAATTTGGGGTAATTTCCGGCATTATTTTGGGGGTGATTCGGGGCCATTTTTAGGGTGACTTTTCCAGTGATTCCGAGGGGGTTTTGGGGTAATTTGGGGCGGTTTTGGGGTGAATTGGGGGGGATTTTGGGGGTAATTTCCGGCATTATTTTGGGGTGATTTGGGGCCATTTTTGAGGTGATTTTCCAGTGATTCCGAGGGGTTTTTTGGGGTGATTTGGGCGATTTTTGGGGTGATTTTCTGGTGATTCGGGGCCATTTTTGGGGTGACTTTTCCAGTGATTCCGAGGGGGTTTTTTGGGGTGTTTTGGGGCCATTTTTGAGGTGACTTTTCCAGTGATTCCGAGGGTTTTTTCCACTGATTCCGAGGGGGTTTTTTGGGGTAATTTGGGGGTAATTTCCGGCGTTAATTTTGGGGTGATTCGGGGCCATTTTTGGGGTGATTTTCTGGTGATTCGGGGCCATTTTTGGGGTGATTTTCCAGTGATTCCGAGGGGTTTTTTGGGGGGGTGGGAGGGTTTTATGGGGATTTTTTGGGGATTTTCTGAGGGGTTTGGAGGGTTTTATGGGGACTTTGGGGGGATTTTTGGAGGGTTTTTTTGGGGGGTTGGGCGGGGTTTTTATGGGGATTTTTCGGGGTTTTTTTTAGGGGATTTTTAGGGGGTTTGGGTGGGTTTTTATGGGGATTTTTAGGGGGATTTTTTGGGGGCTTTGGGCGAGTTTTTATGGGGATTTTTTGGGGGTTTTTATGGCGATTTTTAGGGGGATTTTTGAGGAGTTTGGGCGGGATTTTATGGGGATTTTTTTGGGGGGATTTTTAGGGGATTTTTGGGGGATTTTTGAGGGGTTTGGGAGGGTTTTTATGGGGATTTTTTGGGGGGGTTTATGAGGGTTTTTAGGGGGATTTTTGAGGGGTTTGGGTGGGTTTTTATGGGATTTTTATGGGATTTTTGGGGGTTTGGGACGGTTTTATGGGGATTTTTAGGGGTTTTTTTGAGGGGTTTTGGGTGGGGTTTTTATGGGGATTTTTGGGAGGATTTTTGGAGGGTTTTTTTGGAGGGTTTGGGAGGGTTTTATGGGGATTTTTGGGGGGATTTTTTGGGGTGATTTTGGGGCCATTTTTGGGGTGATTTTCCAGTGATTCCGAGGGGGTTTTTGGGGTAATTTTGGGGGATTTGGGGGTAATTTCCGGCATTATTTTGGGGTGATTCGGGGCCATTTTTGGGGTGACTTTTCCAGTGATTCCGAGGGGATTTTTGGGGGTGATTTTGGGGCGATTTTGGGGGTAATTTCCGGCATTATTTTGGGGTGTTTTCAGGCGATTTTTGGGGTGATTTTCCACTGATTCCGAGGGGTTTTTGGGGTGATTTCGGGGTAATTTCCCGGCATTATTTTGGGGGTGATTCGGGGCGATTTTTGGGGTGACTTTTCCACTGATTCCGAGGGGGGTTTTTTGGGGTGATTTCGGGCGATTTTTGGGGTGATTTTCCACTGATTCCGAGGGGGTTTTTGGGGTGTTTTGGGGCCATTTTTGGGGTGACTTTTCCACTGATTCCAAGGGGGTTTTTTGGGGTGTTTTGGGGCCATTTTTGGGGTGACTTTTCCAGTGATTCCGAGGGGATTTTTGGGGTGATTTTGGGGCGATTTTGGGGGTAATTTCCGGCATTATTTTGAGGTGTTTTCAGGCGATTTTTGGGGTGATTTTCCAGTGATTTCGAGGGGGGTTTTGGGGTGATTTTGGGGGTAATTTCCCGGCATTATTTTGGGGTGATTCGGGGCCATTTTTGGGGTGACTTTTCCAGTGATTCCGAGGGGTTTTTTGGGGTGATTTCGGGCGATTTTTGGGGTGATTTTCCACTGATTCCGAGGGGGGTTTTTTGGGGTGTTTTGGGGCCATTTTTGGGGTGACTTTTCCACTGATTCCGAGGGGGTTTTTGGGGTGATTTCGGTCGATTTTGGGGGTGATTTCCCGGCATTATTTTGGGGTGTTTTGGGGCCATTTTTGGGGTGACTTTTCCAGTGATTCCGAGGGGTTTTTTGGGGTAATTTTGGGGGTAATTTCCGGCTTAATTTTGGGGTGATTCGGGGCCATTTTTGGGGTGATTCGGGGCCATTTTTGGGGTGATTTTCTGGTGATTCGGGGCCATTTTTGGGGTGACTTTTCCAGTGATTCCGAGGGGTTTTTGGGGGGGTGGGAGGGTTTTATGGGGATTTTTTGGGGGATTTCTGAGGGGTTTGGGAGGGTTTTTATGGGGACTTTGGGGGGATTTTTGGAGGGTTTTTTTGGGGGGCTTTGGGCAGGTTTTTATGGGGATTTTTTGGGGGGATTTTTGGAGTGTTTTTTTGGGGGTTGGTTGGGAGGGGTTTATGGGGATTTTTAGGAGATTTTTTTCGGGGATTTTTGAGTGGTTTGGGTGGGTTTTTATGGGGATTTTTATGGGGATTTTGTGGGGGGATTTTTGGAGGGTTTTTTTTGGGGGGTTTGGGCGGTTTTTATGGGGATTTTTGGGGGGATTTTTTGGGGTGATTTGGGGTAATTTTGGGGCTCCCCGCACTCACAAGACGTTGAACTGCAGCAGCTGCACGGCCAGGCTCTCGCACAGCCCCTCCACCGCGAACTTGGAGGCCGAGTAGATGTCATTGAACACAACCCCTGGGAACCCCAAAAAATTTGGGGGGTCCGGGAGGGCTCTGGGGTCTCCACCCCCCCAAAAAATTTGGGGTTTTGGGGTCTTGATTCCCCAAAATTTGGGGCTTGGGGGGGTCTCAATTTCCTCAGAATTTGGGGGTTGGGGTCTCAATTCCTTCAAAATTTGGGGGGGTTCGGGGAGGATTTGGGGCCCCCTGGAGGATTTTGGGGTCCCCAGGGGTTTTTGGGGGTCCCAAAATCGAATTTTGGGGTCCCAAAGGCGAATTTTGGGGTGTCCCGAGAAGGATTTTGGGGTCTTGGGGGGGGGTTTAGGGTCCTGAGGGTTTTCTGAGGTGCTGAATCTGAATTTTGGGGTCCCGAGGAGGAATTTGGGGTCCCAGGGGGTTTTTGGGGTCCCCAGGGGTTTTTTGGGGTCCCAAAAGCGAATTTTGGGGTGTCCCGAGAATGATTTTGGGGGTTCTGGGCGGGTTTTTGGGGTCCAGGTTTTTTTTGGGGTGCTGAATTTGAATTTTAGGGTCCCAGGGGGGTTTTTTTGGGGTCCTGGGGGTTTTTTTTGGGGGGTTCTGAATCCGAATTTTGGGGTCTTGGGGATTTTCTGGGGTCCCGAGGATTTTTGGGGTGCTAAATCCGAATTTTGGGGTCCCGAGGAGTTTTTGGGGTCTCACCCTGCAGCTCCATGACCCCATCACCACCATAATCGGGGTTTTGGGGTCCCGAAGCCGAATTTTGGGGTCCCGAGAAGGAATTTGGGGTCCCGGGGGCTTTTTTGGGGTCCCGGTTTTTTGGGGGAATCCCGGGGTTTTTTTGGGGTGCCAAAGCCGAATTTTGGGGTGCCGAGAAAGATTTTGGGGGGTCCCAAGAAGGATTTTGGGGGGTCCCGGGGTTTTTTGAGGTGCTGAACCCGAATTTTGGGGTCCCGAGGAGGATTTTGGGGTCCCGGGGGTTTTCTGGGGTGCCGAACCCGAATTTTGGGGGTGCCAAGAAAGATTTTTGGGGTCCCGAGAAGGAATTTGGGGTCCCAAAGCCGAATTTTGGGGTCTCGAGGAGGATTTTGGGGTCCCCGGGGGCTTTTTTGGGGTCCCGGGGGTTTTCTGGGGTGCCGAGCCCAAATTTTGGGGTCCCGAGGAGTTTTTGGGGTCCCGGGGGTTTTTTGAGAGTGCCCAAGACGAATTTTGGTAGGGTCCCGAGGAGGAATTTGGGGTCCCGGGGTTTTTTGGGGTGCTAAATCCGAATTTTGGGGTCCCGAGGAGGAATTTGGGGTCCCGGGGTTTTTTGAGGTGCTAAATACGAATTTTGGGGTCCCCGAGGAGGGGTTTTTGGGGTCTCGAGGGTTTTTTGGGGTGCTAATTCCGAATTTTGGGGTGCCGAGGAGGGGTTTTTGGGGTCCCGGGGGTTTTGGAGAGTGCCCAAGACGAATTTTGGGGTCCCAAAGCCGAATTTTGGGGGTCCCGGGGGCTTTTTTGGGGTCCCGGTTTTTTGGGGGAATCCCGGGGTTTTTTTGGGGTGCCAAAGCCGAATTTTGGGGTCCCGAGGAGGAATTTGGGGGTCCCGAAAAGGAATTTGGGGTCCCGGGGGGTTTTCTGGGGTGCTAAATCCGAATTTTGGGGTCCCGAGGAGTTTTTGGGGTCCCGGGGGTTTTTTGAGAGTGCCCAAGACGAATTTTGGGGTCCCAAAGCCGAATTTTGGGGGGTCCCGAGGAATTTTTGGGGACCCGGGGGGTTTTTGAGAGTGCCCAAGACGAATTTTGGGGTCCCGAGGAGGATTTTGGGGTCCCGGGGTTTTTTTTGGGGTGCTAAATCCGAATTTTGGGGGTCCCGAGAAAGATTTTGGGGGTCCCAAGAAGGAATTTGGGGTCCCGGGGTTTTTTGAGTGCCAAATCCGAATTTTGGGGTCCCCCGAGAAGGATTTTGGGGTCCTGGGCGGGTTTTTGGGGTCCAGGTTTTTTTTGGGGTGCTGAATCTGAATTTTAGGGTCCCAGGGGTTTTTTTTTGGGGTCCTGGGGTTTTTTTTTGGGGTTCTAAATCCGAATTTTGGGGTCTTGGGGATTTTCTGGGGACCCGAGGATTTTTGGGGGTGCTAAATCCGAATTTTGGGGTCTCGAGGAGTTTTTGGGGGTCTCACCCTGCAGACCCATGACCCCATCACCACCATAATCGGGTTTTGGGGTCCCAAAGCCGATTTTTGGGGTCCCGAAGCCGATTTTTGGGGGTCCCGAGGAGGATTTTGGGGTCCCGGGGGCTTTTTTGGGGTCCCGGTTTTATGGGGGAGTCCCGGGGGTTTTTTTTGGGGGTGCCAAAGCCGAATTTTGGGGTCCCGAGAAGGAATTTTGGGGTCCCAAGAAGGAATTTGGGGTCCCGAGAAGGAATTTGGGGTCCCAAAGCCGAATTTTGGGGTCTCGAGGAGGATTTTGGGGTCCCGGGGGCTTTTTTGGGGTTCTCGAGGGTTTTTTGGGGTGCTAATTCCGAATTTTGGGGGTCCCGAGGAGGAATTTGGGGTCCCGGGGGTTTCTGGGGTGCCGAGGCCGAATTTTGGGGTGCCGAGGAGGATTTTGGGGGTCCCGAGGAATTTTTGGGGTCCCGGGGGTTTTCTGGGGTGCTGAATCCGAATTTTGGGGTGCCGAGGAGGAATTTGGGGTCCCAAGGCCGAATTTTGGGGTCCCGAGAAAGGATTTGGGGTCCCGGGGGTTTTTTGGGGGTGCCGAACCGAATTTTGGGGTCCCGAGGAGGGGGTTTTTGGGGTCTCGAGGGTTTTTTTGGGGTGCTAATTCTGAATTTTGGGGTGCCGAGGAGGATTTTTGGGGGTCCCGGGGGTTTTCTGGGGTGCCGAACCCGAATTTTGGGGTGCTGAGAAAGATTTTTGGGGTCCCGAGAAGGAATTTGGGGTCCCAAAGCCGAATTTTGGGGGTCTCGAGGAGGATTTTGGGGTCCCGGGGGCTTTTTGGGGTCCCGGGGGTTTTCTGGGGTGCCGAAGCCGAATTTTGGGGTCCCGAGGAGGAATTTGGGGTCCCGGGGTTTTTTTTGGGGTGCTAAATCCGAATTTTGGAGTCCCGAGAAAGATTTTGGGGGTCCCAAGAAGGAATTTGGGGTCCCGGGGTTTTTTGAGGTGCCGAATCCGAATTTTGGGGGTCCCCGAGAAGGAATTTGGGGGGTCCCGGGGGCCTTTTTTGGGGGTCCCGGTTTTTTGGGGGAATCCCGGGGTTTTTTTTGGGGTGCCAAAGCCGAATTTTGGGGTCCCGAGAAGGAATTTTGGGGTCCCAAGAAGGGAATTTGGGGTCCCGAGAAGGAATTGGGGTCCCAAAGCCGAATTTTGGGGTCCCGAGGAGGATTTTGGGGTCCCGGGGGGCTTTTTTGGGGTCTCGAGGGTTTTTTGGGGTGCCGAATCCGAATTTTGGGGTCCCGAGGAGGAATTTGGGGTCCCGGGGGTTTTCTGGGGTTCTGAATCTGAATTTTGGGGTGCCGAGGAGGGATTTTGGGGTCCCCGGGGATTTTTTGGGGTGCCGAACCCGAATTTTGGGGTGCCGAGGAGGAATTTGGGGTCCCGGGGGCTTTTTTGGGGTACCCGGGGGTTTTCTGGGGTGCCGAACCCGAATTTTGGGGTGCCGAGGAGGGGTTTTGGGGGTCCCGGGGGTTTTCTGAGGTGCTGAATCCGAATTTTGGAGTCCCGAGAAAGATTTTGGGGTCCCGAGAAGGATTTTGGGGTCCCGAGGAGGATTTTGGGGTCCCAAGGCCGAATTTTGGGGGTCCCGAGGAATTTTTGGGGTCCCGGGGGTTTTCTGGGGTGCCGAATCCGAATTTTGGGGTCCCGGGGGTTTTCTGAGGTGCTGAATCCGAATTTTGGGGTGCCGAGGAGGGGTTTTGGGGTCCGGGGGTTTTCTGGGGTGTTAAATCCGAATTTTGGGGTCCCCGAGGAATTTTTGGGGGTCCCAGGGGTTTTCTGAGGGTGCCGAACCCGAATTTTGGAGTCCCGAGAAAGATTTTGGGGTCCCAAGAAGGAATTTGGGGTCCCGGGGGGTTTTCTGGGGTGCCGAACCCGAATTTTGGGGTCCCGAGGAGGATTTTGGGGTCCCGGGGGCTCTTTTGGGGTCCCGAACCCGGATTTTGGGGTCCCAAGAAGGAATTTGGTGGTCCCAGGGTTTTTTTGGGGTCCCAAGGCCGAATTTTGGGGTCCCGAGGAATTTTTGGGGTCCCGGGGGGTTTTCTGAGGTGCCGAATCCGAATTTTGGGGTCCCGAGGAGGATTTTGGGGGTCCCGGGGGCTTTTTTGGGGTCCCGGGGGTTTTCTGAGGTGCCGAACCCGAATTTTGGGGTGCCGAGGAGGATTTTGGGGTCCCGGGGGTTTTCTGGGGTGCTAATTCCGAGTTTTGGGGTCCCGAGGAGGATTTTGGGGGTCCCCGGGGGGTTTCTGGGGTGCCGAATCCGAATTTTGGGGTCCCAGGGTTTTTCTGAGGTGCCGAACCCGAATTTTGGGGTCCCGAGGAGAATTTTGGGGGTCCCAGGGGTTTTCTGAGGTGCCGAACCCGAATTTTGGGGTGCCGAGGAGGGGGTTTTGGGGTCCCCGGGGGTTTTCTGAGGTGCCGAACCCGAATTTTGGGGTTGCCGAGGAGGAATTTGGGGTCCCGGGGGTTTTCTGGGGTGCCGAATCCGAATTTTGGGGTGCCGAGGAGGAATTTGGGGTCCCGGGGGTTTTCTGGGGTGCCGAGGCCGAATTTTGGGGTGCCGAGGAGGGGTTTTTGGGGTCTCACCCTGCAGCCCCATGACGCTGCTGACCACCACGATGTGGCCGCTGCGGCGCCGCTTCATTTGGGGGAGCAGGGCCTGGGCCAGGCGCAGCACCCCGAAAACGTTGGTGTCGAACACGCGCTGCACCTGCGGCCCCCGAGGCGCTCTCCAGGGGCCCCACCAGCCCCACCCCCGGCGTTGTTCACTGGGGGGGTCGGAGGGGTCAGGGGAACCCCCAAAAATCCCGAAATCCCCCCCAAAATCGGCCCCTGGGGCTCTGAGATACCCAAATGCCAAAAAATCCCATTAAATCACAAAAAATCTGCTGAAAATCCCATTAAATCTGCCCCAAAAATGCACCCCAAAATCCACAGCCCTGAGTTGTTCACGGAGGGGTCAGGGGAACCCCAAAAATCCCAAAATCCCCCCCAAAATTGGTCCCTGGGGCTCGGAGATACCCAAATGCCAAAAAATCCCATTAAATTTACCCCAAACCCCATAAAATCCACCCCAAAACCACCCCGAAATCCCTCAGCTCACGTTGTTCACTGGTAGGGTCAGGGGGAACCCCAAAAATCCCGAAATTCCCCCCAAAATCGGCCCCTGGGGCTCGGAGATACCCAAATCCCCAAAAATCCCATTAAATCCCATAAAATCCGCTCAAAATCCCATTAAATCCACCCCAAAACCACCCCAAAATCCACAGCCCTGAGTTGTTCACTGAGGGGATCGAGAGGGGTCAGGGGAACCCCCAAAAATCCCGAAATTCCCCCCAAAATCGGCCCCTGGGGCTCGGAGATACACAAATCCCAAAAAATCCCGTTAAATCCACCCCAAACCCCATAAAATCCACCCAAAAATCTGCCCCAAATCCATCAGCTCACGTTGTTCACTGGTAGGGTCAGGGGAACCCCAAAAATCCCGAAGTTCCCCCCAAAATCGGCCCCTGGGGCTCGGAGATACAGAAATGCCAAAAAATCCCAATAAATTCCCATAAAATCCGCTCTAAATCCCATAAAATCTGCCCCACATTCATCAGCTCACGTTGTTCCCTGGGAGGGGTCAGGGGAACCCCAAAAATCCCGAAATCCCCCCCAAAATCGGCCCCTGGGGCTCTGAGATACAAAAATCCCCAAAAATCCCATTAAATTCCCATAAAATCTGCACAAAATCCCATTAAATCCACCCAAAAATCCGCAGCCCTGAGTTGTTCACTGAGGGGTCAGGGGAACCCCAAAAAATCCCGAAATCCCCCCCAAAATCGGCCCCTGGGGCACTGAGATACACAAATGCCAAAAAAATCCCAATAAATTTACCCCAAACCCCATAAAATCCACCCAAAAATCTGCCCCAAATCCATCAGCTCACGTTGTTCCCTGGGAGGGGTCAGGGGAACCCCAAAAATCCCCGAAGTTCCCCCCAAAATCGGCCCCTGGGGCTCTGAGATACCCAAATGCCAGAAATACCCATTAAATGCCATAAAATCTGCCGAAAACCACCCCAAAATCCGCCCCAAAATCCACAGCCCTGAGTTGTTCACTGAGGGGTCAGGGGAACCCCCAAAAATCCCAAAATCCCCCCCAAAATCGGCCCCTGGGGCTTGGAGATACAGAAATCCCAAAAAATCCCATTTAAATCCATAAAATCCGCTCAAAATCCCATTAAATCCCCCCAAAAATCCGCAGCCCTGAGTTGTTCACTGAGGGGTCAGGGGAACCCCAAAAATCCCGAAATCCCCCCCAAAATCGGCCCCTGGGGCTCGGAGATACTCAAATGCCAAAAAATCCCATTAAATCCACCCCAAACCCCAATAAATCCACCCCACAATCCACAGCCCTGAGTTGTTCACTGAGGGGGGTCGAGAGGGGTCAGGGGAACCCCCAAAAATCCCAAAATCCCCCCCAAAATCGGCCCCTGGGGCTCTGAGATACCCAAATCCCAGAAAATCCCAATAAATCCACCCCAAATCCCAAAAAATCCGCCCAAAAACCACCCCGAAATCCACAGCCCTGAGTTGTTCACTGAGGGGTCGGGGGAACCCCAAAAATCCCGAAATCCCCCCCAAAATCGGCCCCTGGGGCTCTTAGATACACAAATGCCAAAAAAATCCCATTAAATCCCATAAAATCTGCTCAAAATCCCAATAAATCCACCAAAAATCCGCAGCCCTGAGTTGTTCACTGAGGGGGTCAGGGGAACCCCCAAAAATCCCGAATTCCCCCCAAAATCGGCCCCTGGGGCCCTGAGATACCCAAATCCCAAAAAATCCCGTTAAATCCACCCCAAACCCCAATAAATCCGCCCCAAAATCCACAGCCCTGAGTTGTTCACGGAGGGGTCAGGGGAACCCCCAAAAATCCCGAAATCCCCCCCAAAATCGGCCCCTGGGGCTCGGAGATACAGAAATCCCAAAAAATCCCAATAAATTACCCCAAATCCCATAAAATCCGCTCAAAATCCCATAAAATCCACCCCAAAATCTGCCCCAAAAAATCCCAAAATCCACAGCCCTGAGTTGTTCACTGAGGGGTCAGGGGAACCCCCAAAAATCCCGAAATTCCCCCCAAAATCGGCCCCTGGGGCTCGGAGATACCCAAATCCCCAAAAATCCCATTAAATCCCATAAAATTCGCTATAAATTCGCTCAAAATCCCATTAAATCCACCCCAAAACCACCCCAAAATCCACAGCCCTGAGTTGTTCACTGAGGGGATCGAGAGGGGTCAGGGGAACCCCCAAAAATCCCGAAATTCCCCCCAAAATCGGCCCCTGGGGCGCTGAGATACCCAAATGCCAAAAAATCCCAATAAATCCCATAAAATCCGCTCAAAATCCCATTAAATCCACCCCAAAAATCTGCCCCAAAAAATCCCCAAATCCACAGCCCTGAGTTGTTCACTGGTAGGGTCAGGGGAACCCCCAAAAATCCCGAAATTCCCCCCAAAATCGGCCCCTGGGGCTTGGAGATACAAAAATCCCAAAAAATCCCATTAAAACCCATAAAATCTGCCGAAAACCACCCCAAAATCCGCCCCAAAATCCACAGCCCTGAGTTGTTCACGGAGGGTCAGGGGAACCCCCAAAAATCCCGAAATCCCCCCAAAATCGGCCCCTGGGGCTCGGAGATACACAAATCCCAAAAATTCCTATTAAATCCCATAAAATCCGCTCAAAATCCCATTAAATCCACCCAAAAATCCGCCCCAAATCCCTCAGCTCACGTTGGTCACTGGGAGGGGTCAGGGGAACCCAAAAAATCCCGAAATTCCCCCCAAAATCGGCCCCTGGGGCTCGGAGATACACAAATCCCAAAAAATCCCATTAAATCCCATAAAATCCACTCAAAATCCCATTAAATCCACCCAAAAATCCGCCCCAAATCCCTCAGCTCACGTTGTTCACGGAGGGGTCAGGGGAACCCCAAAAAATCCTGAAATTCCCCCCAAAATCGGCCCCTGGGGCTCTGAGATACAGAAATCCCAAAAAATCCCATTAAATCCCATAAAATCCGCTCAAAATCCCATAAAATCCACCCAAAAATCCGCCCCAAAAAATCCCAAAATCCACAGCCCTGAGTTGTTCACTGAGGGGTCAGGGGAACCCCAAAAATCCCGAAATCCCCCCCAAAATCGGTCCCTGGGGCTCGGAGATACCCAAATGCCAAAAAATCCCATTAAATCCACCCCAAACCCCATTAAATCCACCCCAAAACCACCCCAAATCCCTCAGCTCACGTTGTTCACTGGGAGGGGTCAGGGGAACCCCCAAAACTCCCGAAATCCCCCCCAAAATTCACCCATCAGAACAAAAAACCCTCCGAAGGTGCCCAAACCCAGCCCAAAACCCCCAAAATGCCTCCAAACCGCCCAAAATGGCTCAAATCCCCCCTCCCAAAAGCGCCCCAAACTACCCCAAAATCCCTAAAAAAAACCCCAAAAATCCCCTAAAATCTACAAAAAAAATCCCCAAAATTTCCCCAAAAATCGCCCAAAAATCGCCCACAAAATCCCCAAAATTGCCCCAAAAATAGCCCAAAATTCCCAAAAAATAGCCCAAAATTCCCCCAAAAATCCCCAAAATTCTCCCAAAAAATCGCCCAAAAATCCCCAAAAATCGCCCAAAAATCGCCCAAAATTCCCCCCAAAATCGCCCAAAAATCGCCCAAAATTCCCCCAAAAATCCCCCCAAAAATCCCCAAAATTCCACCAAAATTCCCCAAAATCCCCAAAAATTCCCCCAAATTCCCCCAAAAATCGCCCAAAATTCCCCCAAAAATCCCCAAAATTCCCCCAAATTCTCCCCAAAATCGCCCCAAAATCCCCAAAATCGCCAAAAATCCCCAAAATCCCCCAAAAATCCCCAAAAATCGCCCAAAAATCCCCAAAAATCGCCCAAAAATCGCCAAAAATTCCCCCAAAAATCGCCCAAAAATCGCCCAAAATTCCCCCAAAATTCCCCCAAAAATCCCCCAAAATCCCCAAAATTCCCCAAAATTCCCCCAAAATTCCGGGCATTTGCTGACCCAGGACGTCCACGCGCCCCCCCGGCACTCCCTGCATGCACTCGGCCACGGAGCTGTCGCTGGTGACGTCGAGGCGCAGAATCCGCAGCGTGTCCCCAAGGGCGGCCCCGGCCGCGGCCTCCAGCGCGCCCCGGCGGGACAGGTCCCGCATGGTGGCCAGGACTGGGGAGAAAAATATCCAAAAATATCCAAAAATATCCCAAAAATATCCCAAAAATTCATCAGGGACAGGTCCCGCATGGTGGCCAGGACTGGGGAGAAAATACCCAAAAATATCCAAAAATATCCAAAAATATCCCAAAAATATCCCAAAAATTCATCAGGGACAGGTCCCGCATGGTGGCCAGGACTGGGGAGAAAATACCCAAAAAATATCCCAAAAATATCCCAAAAATTCATCAGGGACAGGTCCCGCATGGTGGCCAGGACTGGGGACAAAAATCACCCAAAAATAACCAAAAATATCCCAAAAATTCATCAGGGACAGGTCCCGCATGGTGGCCAGGACTGGGGAGAAAATACCCAAAAATAACCAAAAATACCCCAAAAATTCATCAGGGACAGGTCCCGCATGGTGGCCAGGACTGGGGACAAAAATCACCCAAAAATAACCAAAAATATCCCAAAAATTCATCAGGGACAGGTCCCGCATGGTGGCCAGGACTGGGGAGAAAATACCCAAAAATAAACAAAAATATCCCAAAAATTCATCAGGGACAGGTCCCGCATGGTGGCCAGGACTGGGGAGAAAAATATCCAAAAATAACCAAAAATATCCCAAAAATTCATCAGGGACAGGTCCCGCATGGTGGCCAGGACTGGGGAGAAAAATATCCAAAAATATCCAAAAATATCCCAAAAATAGCCCAAAAATTCATCAGGGACAGGTCCCGCATGGTGGCCAGGACTGGGGAGAAAAATATCCAAAATAACCAAAAAATATCCAAAAATACCCAAAAAACCAAAAAAATCCCGTTAGAGACACCCCGGGACAGGTCCCGCATGGTGGCCAGGACTGGGGAGAAAAATATCCAAAAATATCCCAAAAAATATCCAAAAATATCCCAAAAATTCATCAGGACAGGTCCCGCATGGTGGCCAGGACTGGGGAGAAAATAACCAAAAAATAACCAAAAATAACCCAAAAATATCCCAAAAATTCATCAGGGACAGGTCCCGCATGGTGGCCAGGACTGGGGAGAAAATACCCCAAAAATAACCAAAAATAACCCAAAAATATCCCAAAAATTCATCAGGGACAGGTCCCGCATGGTGGCCAGGACTGGGGAGAAAATACCCAAAAAATCACAAAAATAACCCCAAAAATTCATCAGGGACAGGTCCCGCATGGTGGCCAGGACTGGGGAGAAAATACCCAAAAAATATCCCAAAAAATACCCAAAAATACCCAAAAAACCAAAAAAATCCCGTTAGAGACACCCCGGGACAGGTCCCGCATGGTGGCCAGGACTGGGGAGAAAATACCCAAAAAATATCCCAAAAATATCCCAAAAATATCCCAAAAATATCCCAAAAATATCCCAAAAATACCCCAAAAATTCATCAGGGACAGGTCCCGCATGGTGGCCAGGACTGGGGAGAAAAAACACAAAAATAACCAAAAAATATCCCAAAAATATCCCAAAAATTGTCAGGGACAGGTCCTGCATGGTGGCCAGGACTGGGGAGAAAATACCCAAAAAATAACCAAAAATACCCAAAAAATATCCCAAAAATATCCCAAAAATTCATCAGGGACAGGTCCCGCATGGTGGCCAGGACTGGGGAGAAAAATATCCAAAAATATCCCAAAAATATCCCAAAAATTCATCAGGGACAGGTCCCGCATGGTGGCCAGGACTGGGGAGAAAAATATCCAAAAATAACCAAAAATATCCCAAAAATCACAAAAAAACCCCCAAAAATTCATCAGGGACAGGTCCCGCATGGTGGCCAGGACTGGGGAGAAAATATCCCAAAAATCACAAAAAAAAACCCAAAAAACCCCATTAGAAACCTCAAAAATTCATCAGGGACAGGTCCCACATGGTGGCCAGGACTGGGGACCAAAAAAACCCCAAAAAACCCCAAAAAAACCCCATTAGAAACCCCAAAATCCCCGTTAGAGCCACCCTTTAACGAGCTGGGGACAATCCTGGGGTGTCCCCATCCCCTTGGGGACAATCCCGGGCTGTCCCCATCCCCTTCCCTCCCGTTATTTCCCTTCCTCCCCTCCCACCTTGGGGACCCTTGGGGACACTTTGGGGACCTTCCTGGGGTGTCCCCTCCCCTTTCCCTCCCGCCTTGGGGACAATCCCGGGCTGTCCCCATCCCTTTCCCTCCCGATATTTCCCTTCCTCCCCTCCCGCCCTGGGGACATTTGGGGACATTTGGGGACACTTGGGGACCCTTGGGGACACTTGGGGACCTTCCTGGGGTGTCCCCCTGACCCTCCCGGGGTGTCCCCCCCTTTCCCTCCCACCTTGGGGACAATCCCGGGCTGTCCCCATCCCCTTCCCTCCCGATATTTCCCTTCCTCCCCTCCCGCCCTGGGGACATTTGGGGACATTTGGGGACATTTGGGGCCACCTGGGGACACTTGGGGGGACCCTTGGAGCCACCTGGGGACACTTGGGGACCCTCCCGGGATGTCCCCCCTCCCCTCTCGAGGTGTCCCCTCCCCTTTCCCTCCCCCCTTGGGGACAATCCCGAGGTCTCCCCCTCCCATCCCTCCCACCTTGGGGCCACCTGGGGACATTTGGGGACCCTTGGGGACCTTCCTGGGGTGTCCCCCTGACCCTCCCGGGGTGTCCCCCCCCTTTCCCTCCCACCTTGGGGACAATCCCGGGCTGTCCCCATCCCCTCCCTTCCCGTTATTTCCCTTCCTCCCCTCCCACCTTGGGGACATTTAGGGACATTTGGGGACACTTGGGGACACCTGGGGACACTTGGGGGGACCCCTGGGGCCACTTGGGGACCCTCCCGGGATGTCCCCCCCTCCCCTCCCGAGGTGTCCCCTCCCCTTTCCCTCCGCCATTGGGGACAATCCCGGGCTCTCCCCCCACCCCCCCCTCCCACCTTGGGGACATTTGGGGACATTTTGGGGACCCCCCCCCCCCCCGTCTTTACCCAGGTATCGCCTCTGGGGGTCCCGGGCCAGCAGCACGGCCACGGCCAGGCCGATGCCCGAGGAGCAGCCGGTGACAAGGACAGTGCGGCCCGGGGGGGCGGCCATGGTGTCACCTCTGCCCCCCCCCGGCTCGGGGCAAAGGCTCTTAACGGGATCAGCGGGGGTGGCACTGGTGGCACCGCGACACCGGGGGGGACACGGGGGGGACACCAAGGGGGGGGGACACAAAGGGATCAGCGGGGACAGGGGGGGTGGCACTGGTGGCACCGCGACACCGGGGGGGGGTCACCAAGGGGGGGGTGACATCCCGGGATCAGCGGGGACGGGGGGGGCTGGCACTGGTGGCACCGCGACACAGGGGGGGGGTCACCAAGGGGGGGGGTGACATCTCGGGATCAGCGGGGACAGGGGGTGGTGGCACCGCCACACAGGGGGGGTCACCAAGGGGGGGGGGGACACCAAGGGGGGGACACGGGGTCACCAAGGGGGGGGTGACATCTCGGGATCAGCGGGGACAGGGGGGGTGGCACTGGTGGCACCGCGACACTGGGGGGGGACACGGGAGGGGACACAATGGGGGGGACACAAAGGGATCAGCGGGGACGGGGGGGGGTGGCACCGCCACACCGGGGGGGACACAAAGGGGGGGACACGGGGTCACCAAGGGGGGGGTGACATCCCGGGATCAGTGGGGACGTGGGGTGGTGGCACCGCCACACCGGGGGGGGGTGGGGACACAAAGGGGGGGTGGTGACATCTCGGGATGTCACCAAAGGGGGGGGGTTACATCTCAAATGGGGGGGGGACACCCCGGGGTCACCAAGGGGGAACGCGGCGGGGACATCTCGGGAGGTCACCAAAGGGGGTGGGGACAACCGGGGAGGGTCAGGGGCGGTCCCCAAATGTCCCCAAGGCGTGAGGTCACCAAGGGGTGAGGTCACCAAGGGGTGAGGTCACCAAGGAGGGGGGGGACATCTCGGGATGTCACCAAGGAGGGGGGGACACAAAGGGGGGGACACCCCGGGGTCACCAAGGATGGGGGGGACAGCCCGGGATGTCCTCAAGGGGGAGGTGACAAAGGGGGGGGGGGGGGGGTGACATCTCTGGATGTCCCCAAGGCGGGGGGGAGGGACAAAGGGTGGGGTGGCCCCGCCCCCTTCACCTGGGGACCCCAAATTCGCCCCTCCCCGAGCTCCGGCACCGGGTACCGGCACCGGAACCGCCCGGACCGGGCTCTGAGCTCCGGAACCGGACACCGGAACCGTCCGGACCGGGCTCTGAGCTCCAGAACCGGCACCGGAACCGGAACCGGGACCGGAACGGGCTCTGAGCTCCGGAACCGGCACCGGAACCGCCCGGACCGGGCTCTGAGCTCAGGGACCGGCACCGGAACCGCCCGGACCGGGCTCTGAGCTCCGGAACCGGCACCGGAACCGGGCTCTGAGCTCCGGGACCGGCACCGGAACCGTCCGGACCGGGCTCTGAACTCCGGAACCGGCACCGGAACCGGACCGGGCTCTGAGCTCCGGAACCGGCACCGGAACCGTCCGGACCGGGCTCTGAGCTCTGGGACCGGCACCGGAACCGGGACCGGAACGGGCTCTGAGCTCAGGGACCGGCACCGGAACCGTCCGGACCGGGCTCTGAGCTCCGGAACCGGCACCGGAACCGCCCGGACCGGGCTCTGAGCTCCGGAACCGGCACCGGGACCGTCCGGACCGGGCTCTGAGCTCCGGAACCGGCACCGGGACCGTCCGGACCGGGCTCTGAGCTCAGGGACCGGAACGGGCTCCGAGCTCCGAGACCGAAAACCGGGACCGGGCTTTGAGCTCAGGGACCGGGCACCGGCACCGGAACCGCCCGGACCGGGCTCTGAGCTCAGGGACTGAAACCGGAATGGGCTCCGGGACCGGTACCGGGATTGGAACGGGCTCCGAGCTCTGAGACCGGACATTGAACACCTCTGACCGGACACCGGCACAGGAACCGCCCGGACCGGGCTCCGAGCTCCGGAACCGGACACCGGAACCGCCGGAGCTCCCAGTTCCATCCCAGCGCTCCCAGTAACGGCGGCACCGGCAGGGAAAGCGCTCCCAGTTCGCTCCCAGCGCTCCCAGTAACGGCGGCACCGGCAGGGAAAGCGCTCCCAGTTCCATCCCAGCGCTCCCAGTAACGGCGGCACCGGCAGGGAAAGCGCTCCCAGTTCCATCCCAGCGCTCCCGGAACCCGCCCGGGGCAGAGCGCGGCTGCTTTGGGAGCGGGAGGAGGAGCGGGAGGAAGAGGAGGGACACAGGAGGAGCAGGAGGAGGGAGAGAAGGAGGAGCGGGAGGAAGAGGAGGGACAGAGGAGCAGGAGGAGGAGGAACGGGAGGAAGAGCGGCCCCGGCCCCGGCCCCGCCGGCGTCGCCCCCCGGGCCCCGCAGGTGAGCGGGGAGGGGGAGCTCGCCCCGAACCCATGGCGGGGGGGGCTCCGGGAGGGATTTTTGGGGGGCAGGACCCCAAAGCCGAGCCCGAAATGGCCCCGGGCGGGCTCCGAGAGCGCTTTCCCTGCCGGTGCCGCCGTTACTGGGAGCGCTGGGAGGGAACTGGGAGGGAACTGGGAGCGCTGGGAGGGAACTGGGAGCGCTGGGAGGGAACTGGGAGGGAACTGGGAGCGCTGGGAGGGAACTGGGAGCGCTTTCCCTGCCGGTGCCGCCGTTACTGGGAGCACTGGGAGCGAACTGGGAGCGCTGGGAGGGAACTGGGAGGGAACTGGGAGCACTGGGAGGGAACTGGGAGCGCTGGGATGGAACTGGGAGCGCTTTCCCCTGCCGGTGCCGCCGTTACTGGGAGCGCTGGGAGGGAACTGGGAGGGAACTGGGAGGGAACTGGGAGCGCTGGGAGGGAACTGGGAGCGCTTTCCCTGCCGGTGCCGCCGTTACTGGGAGCGCTGGGAGGGAACTGGGAGCACTGGGAGGGAACTGGGAGCGCTGGGAGCGGTCGCAAGGGTCCCAGGGCGAGGGGAGAGACGAGAATCCTGTGTGTTCAGGAGGCTGATTTGTTATTTTATGATGTATATTGCATTAAAATGTATTATTTTATTATATATATTACATTAAAATTACATTAAAGTTACCATAAAATTACCTTAAAATGTAGTATATTTTTATTACATTTAAATGTAATATATATGTTACATTTAAATTTAATTAAAAAATCATATTGCATTAAAATGTAATACATATTACGTTTTATTATATGTATTACTTTAAGACAAATTAAATACTAAAACTATGCTAAAGAATAGAAGAAAGGATTTCATCAGAAGGCTGGTTTATTATTTTATGATATATATTATATTAAAAGAAAATTATACAATAAAACTATATCTATTAATATATGGTAATTAAAAGTATATTTCTTATTTTATTATATATATTACATTAAAAGAAAATTATATATTTAAACTATATCTATTAATATATGGTAATTAAAATTATATTTCTTATTTTATTATATATATTCTATTAAAAGAAAATTATATATTAAAACTATATCTATTAATGTATGTTAATTAAAATTATATTTCTTATTATATATTAAGTGAAAAGAAAATTATATATTAAAACTAGATCTATTAATGTATGTAAATTAAAATTATATTTCTTATTTTATTATATATATTACATTAATAGAAAAATATACATTTAAACTATATTAATGTATGTCAATTAAAATTATATTTCTTATTTTGCCATGTATATTATATAAAAGAAACTTATATATAAAACTATATCTATTCATATATGTCAATTAAAATTATATTTCTTATTTTATGATATATACTACATTAAAAGAAGATTATATATTCAAATTCTATATATTAATATATGTCAATTAAAATTATATTTCTTATTTCATGATATATATTACATTAATAGAAAATTATCTATTAAAACTATATCTATATTAATTAATACTAAAGAATAGAAGAAGGGATTTCATCAGAAGGTTGGTTTATTATTTTATGATACATATTACGTTAAAAGAAAATGATATATTAAAACTGTACCAAAGAATAGGAGGATTTCATCAGAAGGCTGATGTATAATTTTATTATATATATATTACATTAAAAGAAAACGATATATTAAAACTATACTAAAAATGGAAGAAAGGATTTCATCAGAAGGCTGATGTATAATTTTATTATATATATATTACATTAAAAGAAAACGATATATTAAAAACTATACTAAAAATGGAAGAAAGGGTTTCATCAGAAGGCTGATGTATAATTTTATTATATATATATATATTACATTAAAAGAAAATGATATATTAAAACTATACTAAAAATGGAAGAAAGGATTTCATCAGAAGGGCTTGAAAGGAGAAAAAAAAAGAAAAAAGTGAAAGGAATGATAACAAAAGCTGGTGACCCTCAGAGAATCCGAACCACCCTCGCCGCGATTGGCCCTTAATTAAAAACAACCAGCGTGGACCAATCGGAGCTGGGCCTGTTGCATTCCACAGCAGCAGATAATTATTGCTTTTCTTTTCCTCTGAGGCTTCCTCAGCTTCTCAGGAGGGGAGAAAACAAAAAGAAACCCAAAAAAATCCGGAGCGCGAGGATTTTTCAGGGAATCTCAGGGCTGGAAGGGGCCCTGAGGCCTCCAGCAGCAGCAGCAAAGGGCTCAGGCCTTGTCCTGCCCCAGGCCGGGATCCCCCAGCGCCAAACGCGGGCCCAGCGAGGAGGAGGAGGAGGCTGTGAGGAAGAGGAGCCCGGCCCGGGAGCCCCAGGCAGGTGAGGAGGAAGGCAGGGCCCCTTTGCCCCCTCGGTGCTGCTCCAGCCCAGCCCTGGGGCATGGCCTGGTGCTGCCCTGAGGGAGGGGGGCAGATCCTGAACCCCATCGTGACCCTGGGGGGCAGATCCTGAACCCCATCGTGACCCTGTGGGGCAGATCCTGAACCCCATCCTGAACTTGGGGGGCAGATCCTGAACCCCATCGTGAACTTGGGGGGCAGATCCTGAACCCCATCGTGACCCTGTGGGGCAGATCCTGAACCCCATCGTGAACTTGGGGGGCAGATCCTGAACCCCATCGTGACCCTGTGGGGCAGATCCTGAACCCCATCCTGAACCTGTGGGGCAGATCCTGAACCCCATCGTGACCCTGTGGGGCAGATCCTGAACCCCATCGTGACCCTGTGGGGCAGATCCTGAACCCCATCGTGACCCTGTGGGGCAGATCCTGAACCCCATCCTGAACTTGTGGGGCAAATCCCAAACCCCATCGTGACCCTGTGGGGCAGATCCTGAACCCCATCGTGACCCTGTGGGGCAGATCCTGAACCCCATCCTGAACTTGTGGGGCAAATCCCAAACCCCATCCTGAACTTGTGGGGCAGATCCTGAACCCTATCCTGTCCCTGTGGGGCAAATCCCATCCCATCCCTGTGGGGCAGATCCTGAACCCCATTGTGACCCTGTGGGGCAAATCCCAAATCCCATCCTGAACTTGTGGGGCAAATCCCAAACCCCATCCTGAACTTGTGGGGCAAATCCCAAACCCCATCGTGACCCTGTGGGGCAAATCCCATCCTGAACTTGTGGGGCAAATCCCAAACCCCATCCTGAACTTGTGGGGCAGATCCTGAACCCCATCGTGAACCTGTGGGGCAAATCCCAAACTCCATCCTGAACCTGTGGGGCAAATCCCAAACCCCATCCTGTCCCTGTGGGGCAAATCCCAAACCCCTTCCTGACCCTGTGGGGCAAATCCCATCCTGAACTTATGGGGCAAATCCCACCCTGTCCTTGTCCTCATGGAGGCAAACTAATTCCAAATTAATTGGGAGCCTCCGTGAGCTTGACGAGTTAAACTTCCTGACATCCACAGGCCTGGAAGGCAGCGTGAATTAAAGGGAGCTGCCTCTCCAAAGACTTTTTCCAAGCTGTTTTTCCAAGTTTTTCCCATGGCAGGCATCTTTTGACGAAAAATCCCTTTCCTCAGGGGTTTTTTTTCTCCTCCTGAGAAGCCGAGGGGGCCCTCAGGACCAAAATGCAAACATTGATTATCAGCTGCCGTGGAATTCGACACATTGTGGGATTGGCCCCTCTTGGATGTTTGTAATTAACGGCCAATCAGAGCCTTGGGACAGCTGCCTTTGTTATCATTCCTCCCTTTCTATTCTTGGCCAGGCCGGGCTTGGGATGGAGCCTTCCCCTCTGTTCTTTTTAGAGCGTGGTTTTAATGCCATGAGCGTGGTTTTAATGCCTTGTGTGGCGGGAAATGGTAAATGGAGGCTTCTGGAATGAGGGGAGGGATACTTCGAGTCTTCCCTCAATGTAAAAACCCCCTGGGAACAACTTCAGGATGTCCTTGTCCTCATGGGGGCAAATCCCAAACCCCATCCTGAAATTCTGGGGCAAATCTCATCTTGTCCCTGTGGGGCAAATCCCATCCTGAACTTGGATAGGGGCAAATCCTATCCTGAAATTCTGGGGCAAATCTCATCTTGTCCCTGTGGGGCAAATCCCATCCTGAACTTGGATAGGGGCAAATCCCAAACCCCACCTGTCCCTGTGGGGCAAATCCCATCCTGAACTTGTGGGGCAAATCCCAAATTCCATCATGTCCCTGTGGGGCAAATCCCAAACCCCACCTGTGCCTGTGGGGCAAATCCCATCCTGAACTTGTGGGGCAAATCCCAAATTCCATCCTGTCCCTGTGGGGCAAATCCCAAACCCCACCTGTCCCTGTGGGGCAAATCCCATCCTGAACTTGGATAGGGGCAAATCCCAAACCCCACCTGTCCCTGTGGGGCAAATCCCAAACCCCACCTGTCCCTGTGGGGCAAATCCCAAACCCCACCTGTCCCTGTGGGGCAAATCCCAAACCCCACCTGTCCCTGTGGGGCAAATCCCATCCTGAACTTAGATAGGGGCAAATCCCATCCTGTCCTTGTCCCCATGGAGGCCAATCCCATCCTGTCCTTGTGGGGCAAACCCCATCCTGTCCTTGTGGGGCAAATCCCATCCTGAACTTGGATAGGGGCAAATCCCATCCTGTCCTTGTGGGGCAAACCCCATCCTGTCCTTGTGGGGCAAATCCCATCCTGAACTTGGATAGGGGCAAATCCCAAATTTTCCTTGGATAAGGGCAAATCCCAAATTTTCCTTGTGGGGCAAATCCCATCCTGAACTTGGATAGGGGCAAATCCCATCCTGAAATTGTGAGGCAAATCCCATCCTGTCCCTTTGGGGCAAATCCCATCGTGTCCTGTTGGGGCAAATCCAAACCCCATCCTGTCCTTGTGGGGCAAATCCCATCCTGAACTTGGATAGGGGCAAACCCCATCCTGTCCCTGTGGGGCAAATCCCATCCTGTCCTTTTGGGGCAAATCCCAAACCCCATCTTGTCCTTGGCTAGGGGCAAATCCCAAATTTTCCTTGTGGGGCAAATCCCATCCTGTCCTTGGATGGAGGCAAATCCCATCGTGTCCTTGTGGGGCCAATCCCATCGTGTCCTTGTCCCCATGGAGGCAAATCCCATCCTGTCCCCATGGGGGCCAATCCCATCGTGTCCCTGTGGGGCAAATCCCAAATCCCATCGTGTCCTTGTGGGGCCAATCCCATGGTGTCCCTGTCCCCACCGGGGCCAATCCCATGGTGTCCCTGTCCCCACGGGGGCCAATCCCATGGTGTCCTTGTCCCCACGGGGGCCAATCCCACGGTGTCCATGTCCTTCCTCCCCCAGAGCAGGAGCTGAGCATGGAGAGCAGCGAGGAGCCGGTGGCCGAGGCCGTTTTGAGCGGCTCCAGGGCGCAGGGAGAAGCCAGCGGGGAGGAGAAGCCGCGGAGATGCCTGAGCAGGAGGGGCTGCAAACGCAGAGCGCGGGGATCCGAGGGGCAAAGAGCCGGCCTGGGCCAGGGAGGGGCTCAGAGCCCCGAGCTGGGGCTCCGGGAGCAGCTCCAGGATGGGCAGGAGAAGCCCCACGAGCGCTCGGAGTGCGGGAAGAGCTTCAGCAGGAGCTCCGAGCTGGGTGCCCACCTGAGGAGCCACGCTTGGGAACAGCCGAGCTCTGAGGGGGAAAAGCCTCCCCTGGGTGGGGAAGGGGCTCAGAACTTGGAGCTGGGGGTCCAAGAGCAGCTCCAGGATGGGCAGGAGAAGCCCCACAAGCGCTCGGAGTGCGGGAAGAGCTTCAGGTGGAGATCCTGCCTGATTATCCACCAGAGAATCCACACCGGGGGACAGCTGGGATCTGAGGGGGAAAAACCCACCCTGGACCAGGGTCAGAGCTCAGAGCTGGGGCTCCGTGAGCAGCTTCAAGATGGGAGAAGAAGCCCCACGAGTTCTCGGAATGGGAGAAGAGCTTCGTGCTGGGTTCCCACCTGATTGTCCACCAGAAGAGCCACACGGAGCAAGAGCTGGGATCTGAGGGGGAAAAACCAACCCCGCATCAGGAAGGGGCTCAGAGCTCGGAGCTGGGGCTCCATGAGCAGCTCCAGGATGGGCAGGAGGAGAAGCCCCACAAGTGCTCGGAGTGCGGGAAGAGCTTCAGGTGGAGATCCAACCTGATCAAGCACTGCAGAATCCACACTGGGCAACAGCTGAGACCTGAGGGGGAAAATCCCACCTTGGACCAGGGTCAGAGCTCAGAGCTGGGGCTCCGTGAGCAGCTCCAGGATGGGGAGAAGAGGCCCCACAAGTGCTCGGAGTGCGGGAAGAGCTTCACCAAGAGATCCAACCTGATCAGGCACTGCAGAATCCACACTGTGCAACAACTGGGGTCTGAGGGGAAAAAACCCACCCTGGGTCAGAGCTCCAAGCTGGGGCTCCGTGAGCAGCTCCAGGATGGGGAGGAGAAGAAGCCCCACAAAGTGCTCGGAATGTGGGAAGAGCTTCAGGAGGAGAGCCAACCTCATGGAGCACAGCAGGGTCCACACTGGGGAGAAACCCTACAAGTGTGGGGAGTGTGGGCAGAGCTTCAGCTGGAGCTCCCAGCTGCTTCTCCACCAGAGGAGGATCCACACCGGGGAGAGGCCCTACGAGTGCCAGCAGTGCGGGAAGAGCTTCACCTGCAAGTCCCACCTGAGCAGCCACCTGAGGACTCACACTGGGGAGAAGCCCTACGAGTGCGAGCAGTGCCACAAGAAGTTCCAGAGCAGCTCCTCCCTCGTCGTCCACCGGCGCTCGCACACGGGCGAGAGGCCCTTCCCGTGCCCCGAGTGCGGGATGAGCTTCAAGGAGAACTCGGCCCTGGTCAGGCACCGCCGCACCCACTCCGGGGAGAGGCCCTACGAGTGCGGGCAGTGTAAAAATTCCTTCCCGACCAGCTCCCTGCTGGCCGAGCACCAGCGCATCCACACCGGGGAGAAGCCGTTTGGCTGCCCCGACTGCGGCAGGGGCTTCAGGCAAAAGTCCAGCCTGGTCAAGCACCGGCGCATCCACACCGGGGAGAGGCCGTACGTGTGCGGGGCGCTGCGGCAAGAGCTTCACGCAGAGCTCCAACCTGTTTGCCCACCAGAGGAGCCACGCGGAGCGGCCCTACGAGTGCGAGTACTGCTGGAGGAGCTTCTCGCAGAGCTCCAGCCTGATCGTGCACCAGAAGTGCCACACCGAGGTGAGGCCCTACGAGTGCAGGAAGTGCGGGAAGAGCTTCACCACCAGGTCCTGCCTGCTCACCCACCAGATGATCCACACCGGGGAGCGGCCCTACGAGTGCGGGCAGTGCGGGAAGGGCTTCATGTCCAAGTCCCACCTGATTTACCACCAGAGGGGCCACAGCGGGGAGAAGCCCTACGAGTGCGAGCAGTGCAAGAAGAGGTTCCTGACCAGCTCCCATCTCCTCAGCCACCAGCTGATGCACACCGAGGAGAGGCCGTTCTGCTGCCCCGATTGCGGCAAGGGATTCAGGCAAAAGTCCAAGCTGGTCATGCACCGGTGCGGCCACACCGGGGAGAAGCCATTCCAGTGTCCCCCAGTGTGGGAAGGGCTTCACCACGAGCTACAGCATGACCAGACACCTGGAGAGCCAGCACTGAGGTGGGAAGAGCTCCGTGGGCTGCTCCAGCTCCATCCCACACGGGAGGATCTGCTCTGGATGGGGCCCAGTGGGCCCAGGTGGGCAGAGCCACCTTGATCCGTGTTTGGAGGACACCTGGCTGAGGGCTCCTCATCCTCCTGCCCAGGTGGGCAGAGCCACCTTGATCCGTGTTTGGAGGACACCTGGCTGAGGGCTCCTCATCCTCCTGCCCAGGTGGGCAGAGCCACCTTGATCCATGTTTGGGGAACACCTGGCTGAGGGCTCCACGTCCTCCCGGATTTGTCACCTTCTGACCCTGAAAAATCTCAATTTTTCCATCTTTTGGTGGTCTTCAGCAACACTAGAGAGCCTTGGTGGTCTCCACCATCAATCCATCCCCCATGGGAAGATCTGCTCTGGGTGGGCCCAGGTGGGCAGAGCCACCTTGATCTGTGTTTGGAGGACACCTGGCTGAGGGCTCCTCATCCTCCTGGATTTGTCACCTTCTGACCCAGAAAAATCTCAAATTTTCCCTCTTTTGGTGGTCTTCAGCAACACTAGATAGCCTTGGTGGTCTCCACCATCAATCCATCCCACACGGGAGGATCTGCTCTGGATGGTCCCCAGTGGGCCCAGGTGGGCAGAGCACCTTGATCCATGTTTGGGGAACACCTGGATGAGGGCTCCTCATCCTCCTGGCTCCCCATGGCCTGGATTTTGTTTAATTTCTCTTTATCCTTTCTAAATCTGAGGTTGAAAATAAAGATATTGAACGAAGACAAGGATGGGGACACGGAGGGATCTTCCAGGGCATGAGGGGGATGCTGGCCCCGAGGGAGCTGAGGGTTCCTGGGGCAGATTTGGGGGTTCCTCAGGGCTTTGGGCACCCCAGGCTGATCCAGGACCCCCTGCCCTGGAAGTGTCCCCACGTCCTCCTGTCCTGGTTCCTGCTGTCCCCTGTCCAGGACCCTGCTCCCATCTGAGTCCTGATCCCATCCCTGCTCTCTGTCCTTGTCCCTGTCCCATATTCTCTATCTGGTCGCCATTCCCACCTTCCCTGTCCTGTTCCCCTTTTCCTATTCCACTCCCTAATTCCCATTTCTGTATTTCCTCTCTCATTCCCGTTTTCTGATTCCTGATCCCAATCCCAGTCCAGTATTCACAGTCCTATCACGAACATATTTTATTTAAAAAAAATCCTTTCCTTAGGATTTTTTCCCCCTCAGAAGCTGAGAGGGAAATGAAATGAATGTTCAAATGAAATTTAAACAAGAATTTTCTGCTGCCGTGGAACGCGCAGCGATCGCGCCTTTGATTGATCTCATCTGGTTGTTATTTTAATTAGCGGCCAATCAAAATTTCAGAGGTCTCAGACTCTCTGGTCACTCACAGGATTTTTATTATCATTCTTTTCTATGCCTTTCAAGCCTTCTGATGAAATACTTTTTTTTTTTTCTATTTTTTAGTATAGTTTTAATAGATCGTTTTCTTTCAATACAACATATATATCATAAAATAATAAATCAGCCTTCTGATGAAATCCTTTCTTCTACTCTTTGGTACAGTTTTAGCATGTCGTTTTCTTTTAATATAATATATATAATAAAATAAACCAGCCTTCTGAAACACAAGATTCTCATCTCTTCCCTCGTCCAGGGTGGTCCCTGTCCCCATTCCCATTCCCGGTCCCCATTCCCGGTCCCTGTCCCCATTCCCCGTCCCCATTCCCGGTCCCTGTCCCCATTCCTGGTCCCCATTCCTTGTCCCCATTCCCTGTCCCCATTCCCCGTCCCCATTCCCTGTCCCCATTCCCGGTCCCCATTCCCCTCTCCCCTGTCCCCCATTCCCTGTCCCCATTCCCGGTCGCCATTCCCGGTCCCCTCACACCGGACGCTCCTCCCCTCAGCCCATGACGTCACCGAGCAAACCCCGCGCTCCTCCCGCCCACCAATCCCAGCGCGCGATCGCTCCTAGATTTGCATAACCACGCCCATTCAGCTTGGCCCCGCCTGCTTTTGGGGGCCGGCGCTGCCCGGAGCGGGAGGAAGAGGAGGGGGAGAAGGAGGAAGAGGAAGAGGAGGGACAACGGAAGAGGAAGAGCGGCCCCAACCCCACGCGGTTCCCCCGCTCCGGCCGCAGCTGCCCCGGCCCCGCCGGCATCGCCCCCCGGAGCCCGCAGGTGAGCGGGGAGGGGGAGCTCGCCCCGAACCCATGGCGGGGGGGGCTCCGGGAGGGATTTTTGGGGGGCAGGGGAGGCAAATCCCATCCTTGTCCTTGTGGGGCAAATCCCATCGTGTCCCCATGGGGGCAAATCCCATCGTGTCCTTGTCCCCATGGAGGCAAATCCCATCCTGTCCTTGTGGGGCAAATCCCATCCTGAACTTGGATAAGGGCAAATCCCAAATTTTCCTTGTGGGGCAAATCCCAAATTTTCCTTTTGGGGCAAAACCCATCCTGTCCTTGGATGGAGGCAAATCCCATGGTGTCCTTGTCCCCCACGGGGCCAATCCCATTGGGACCCTTGTGGGGCCAATCCCATGGTGTCCTTGTCCTTCCTCCCCCAGAGCAGGAGTTCTGAGCATGGAGAGCAGCGAGGAGCCGGTGGCCGAGGCCGTTTTGAGCGGCTCCAGGGCGCAGGGAGAAGCCAGCGGGGAGGAGAAGCCGCGGAGATGCCTGAGCAGGAGGGGCTGCAAACGCAGAGCGCGGGGATCCGAGGGGCAAAGAGCCGGCCTGGGCCAGGGAGGGGCTCAGAGCCCCGAGCTGGGGCTCCGGGAGCAGCTCCAGGAGGGGCAGGAGAAGCCCCACGAGCGCTCGGAGTGCGGGAAGAGCTTCACCAAAAGGTCCCACCTGATTGTCCACCTGAGGAACCACATGGAACAACACCCGGGATCTGAGGGGGAAAAACCCACCCTGGACCTGGGTCAGAGATCAGAGCTGCGGGTCCGGGAGCAGCTCCAGGATGGGCAGGAGAAGAAGCCCCACAAGTGCTCGGAATGCGGGAAGAGCTTCAAGAGGAGATCCTGCCTGGTTGTCCACCAGAGGAGCCACACGGGATCTGAGGGGGAAAAACCCACCCTGGACCTGGGTCAGAGCTCAGAGCTGGGGGTCCAAGAGCAGCTCCAGGATGGGGAGAAGAAGCCCCACAAGTGTTTGGAATGTGGGAAGAGCTTCACCAAAAGGTCCCACCTGATTGTCCACCAGAGGAGCCACACGGGATCCGAGGGGGAAAAACCCACCCTGGACCAGGGTCAGAGCTCAGAGCTGGGACTCCAAGAGCAGCTCCAGGATGGGGAGAAGAGGCCCCACAAGTGTTTGGAGTGTGGGAAGAGCTTCATGCTGAGCTTCCACCTGGTTGACCATTCCAGAGTCCACACCGGGGAACGTCCCTACGAGTGCGGGCTGTGCGGGAAGAGCTTCACCAGCAGCTCCTACCTGAGGGTCCACCAGAGGATGCACACCGGGGAGAAGCCCTACGAGTGCGGGCAGTGCAAGAAGAGGTTCCTGACCAGCTCCTACCTCCTCGTGCACCAGCGGATCCACAAAGACGAGAAACCCTTCAGCTGCCCCGACTGCGGCAAGAGCTTCAGCCAGAAGTCCAACCTGGTCGTCCACCGGCGCATCCACACCGATGAGAGGCCCTACGAGTGTCCCCTGTGCGGGAAGGGCTTCAGGACAAACTGCCAGCTGGTTGTCCACCACAGGACGCACACGGGAGAGCGGCCCTACGAGTGTGGGCAGTGCGGGAAGAGCTTCAGCAGCAACTCCCAGCTGATTTTTCACCGGAGGAGCCACTCGGGGCGTCGCCGAGAGGGATCCGAGGGGGGAAAGCCCAGGCTGGGTCATGGAGGTGGTCAGAGATCCAAGCTGGAGGTTCAGGATGGGGAGAATTCCCACAAATGCCGGGAATGTGGGAAGAGCTTCATGTCCAAGTCCTCCTTGCTCTACCACCACCGCATCCACACCGGCGAGAGGCCCTACGGGTGTCCCCCAGTGCGGGAAGAGCTTCAGGGAGCGCTCGAGCCTCAACATCCACCTCAGGATCCACACTGGAGAACGGCCCTACAGGTGCCCCCAGTGCGGGAAGGGCTTCACCTCCAGCACGGGGCTGACCGTCCACCGCAGGAGGCACACAGGGGAGAGGCCCTACGAGTGCCCCCAGTGCGGGAAGAGCTTCAGGGAGCACTCGAGCCTCAAAGTCCACCTCAGGATCCACACTGGAGAACGGCCCTACAGGTGCCCCCAGTGCGGGAAGGGCTTCAGGGAGCGTTCAAGCCTCAACGTCCACCTCAGGATCCACACTGGAGAACGCCCCTACAGGTGCGGGCAGTGCGGGAAGGGCTTCACCTCCAGCACGGGGCTGACCGTCCACCGCAGGAGGCACACGGGGGGAGCGGCCCTACGAGTGCCCCCAGTGCCCCAAGAGCTTCAGCAGGAGCTCCCAGCTGCTGGTGCACCTGAGGTGCCACACCGGTGAGAGGCCCTACGAGTGCCCCCAGTGCGGGAAGGGCTTCAGGGAGCGCTCCCAGCTGCTGGTGCACCTGAGGTGCCACAGCGGCGAGAGGCCCTACGAGTGCCCCCAGTGCCCCAAGAGCTTCAGGGGGAGGTCCCAGCTGCTGGTGCACCTGAGGTGCCACACCGGCGAGAGGCCCTACGGGTGCGCCCAGTGCGGGAAGAGCTTCGCGACGAGCTCCTGCCTGATGAAACACCGCCGGAGCCACACGGGGGAGAAGCCCTACGAGTGCGGGTGGTGCGGGAAGAGCTTCGTGGTGAGGTCCCACCTCAACACCCACCTGAGGACCCACACCGGGGAGAAACCCTTCGAGTGCCAGCTGTGCGGCAAGAGCTTCAGCACCAGGTCCTACCTGGTCGTCCACCAGCGGTTCCACAGCGGGGAGAGGCCCTACAAGTGCGGGGAGTGCGGGAAGAGCTTCGTCATGTGCTCCCTGCTGATCGTCCACCGGAGGATCCACACCGGCGAGCGGCCCTACGTGTGCGACGTGTGCAGGAAGGGTTTCAGGAGCGGCTACCTTCTCCTGGTCCACCAGCGCTCGCACACGGACGAGAAACCCTTCCGGTGCCCCGACTGCGGCAAGGGCTTCAGGGAGAACTCCACCCTCACCGTCCACCGCCGCGTGCACACCGGGGAGAGGCCCTACCTGTGCCCCCAGTGCGGGAAAACCTTCATGCTGAGCTCCCGCCTGCGCGCCCACCAGAGGAGCCACACGGGGAGAACGTCCCCCACAGGTGCGAGGAGTGCGGCAAGGGGCTTCACCACCCGCCCGGGGCTGGTCCACCACCAGAGGAGCCACACCGGCGAGAAACCCTACGCGTGCGGGCAGTGCGGGAAGAGCTTCACCACCAGCTCCTGCCTGAGGTCCCACAAGAAGACGCACAGCGACGAGAAGCCCTTCGAGTGCCCGCTGTGCGGGAAGAGGTTCAGGGCGAGCTCCAGCCTCAGGAGGCACCAGAGCACGCACACGCGGGAGGAACCTTTGCACTGCGAGAAACCTTTCCGCTGTCCCGACTGCGGGAGGCGCTTCAAGCTCAACTCCTTCCTGGCCAAGCACCGGCTGATCCACGCCGGGGACGGCCCCCCGGCGAGTGTCACCTGTGTGGCAAGAGGTTCTCGGCCAGTTCTCTCCTGGCCAGGCACCGGTGGAAGTTCCATTGAGGGCGGCACTGGTGGTGGCCAGGAGGAGCTTGGTGGGGCTTCTCCAGCTCCATCTCACACGGGAGGATCTGCTCTGGATGGTGCCCAGTGAGCCCAGGTGGGCAGAGCCACCTTGATCCCTGTTTGGAGGACACCTGGCTGAAGGTTCCTCATCCTCCTGGATTTGTCACCTTCTGACCCGAAAAAATCTCAGTTTTTCACTGTTGTGGTGGTATTTAGCAACTCTTGATTGCCTCAGAGGTGTCTTCTCCACCATCAACCCATCCCCCATGGGAGGATCTGCTCTGGATGGTCCCCAGTGGGCCCAGGTGGGCAGAACCACCTTGATCCCTGTTTGGAGGACACCTGGCTGAGGGCTCCTCATCCTCCTGGGTTTGTCACCTTCTGACCCTGAAAAATCTCAATTTTTCCATCTTTTGGTGGTCTTCAGCAACTCTTGATTGCCTTGGATGTCTTCTCCAACATGAATCCATCCCACACGGGAGGATCTGCTCTGGATGGTCCAGGTGGGCAGAGCCACCTTGATCCCTGTTTGGGAGACACCTGGCTGAGGGCTCCTCATCCTCCTGGATTTGTCACCTTCTGACCCAGAAAAATCTCAAATTTTCCCTCTTTTGGTGGTTTTAAGCAACACTAGATTGCCTTGGTGGTCTCCACCATCAATCCATCCCACACGGGAGGATCTGCTCTGGATGGTCCCCAGTGGGCCCAGGTGGGCAGAGCCACCTTGATCCCTGTTTGGAGGACACCTGGCTGAGGATTCCTCATCCTCCTGGATTTGTCAACTTCTGACCCAAAAAAATCTCAGTTTTTCACTGTTGTGGTGGTATTTAGCAACTCTTGATTGCCTCAGAGGTGTCTTCTCCAACATGAATCCATCCCACACAGGAGGATCTGCTCTGGATGGCCCAGGTGGGCAGAGCCACCTTGATCCCTGTTTGGGGAACACCCGGCTGAGGGCTCCTCATCCTCCTGGATTTGTCACCTTCTGACCCCTGAAAAATCTCAGCTTTTCACTCTTGTGGTGGTATTTAGCAACTCTTGATTGCCTCAGAGGTGTCTTCTCCAACATGAATCCATCCCACACAGGAGGATCTGCTCTGGATGGCCCAGGTGGGCAGAGCCACCTTGATCCGTGTTTGGAGGACACCTGGCTGAGGGCTCCTCATCCTCCTGGATTTGTCACCTTCTGACCCAAAAAAATCTCGTTTTTCCTCTCCTTTGGTGGTCTTAACCCACACTAGATATCCTCTGAGGTCCTCTCCAACATCAATCCATCGTTTCTGGCCCGCGGGCGTCTTCCACAGCAAAATGGAGTTGGATTGGGGCAAAACCCTCAATTTTGGAGACTGTGGGGTGGAAAGCTCCAAAAGTGGGAAGGTGGGAAGAGGGAAGGGCCTCCAAAAAAAGTTCTTCCCACCCATGCAAGGAGGTGGATGCTCAGGGACACGTGGTTGGACTTTCTTGGTTCTGGTTTTCGAATGAAAAGGTTTCTGTTCATCCCTTTGAAAGCCCCGAAATTGGGGGTAGAAATAAAAATGTTGATGTGAGGTGTGGAGGGGACATGGTGGGACATGGACATGGATGGGGACATGGACATGGATGGGGACATGGATGGGGACATGGACATGGATGGGGACATGGACATGGATGGGGACATGGTGGGACATGGACATGGTGGGACATGGGCATGGATGGGGAGGTGGTGGGACATGGACATAGATGGGGACATGGACATGGTTGGGGACATGGTGGGACATGGACATAGATGGAGACGTGGCCATGAATGGGGATGTGGCCATGGGTGGTGGGTGGGGACATGGTGGGACATGGTTGGGGACATGGACATGGATGGGGACGTGGTGGGACATGGCCACGAATGGGGACGTGGCCATGGGTGGGGACATGGTGGGACGTGGCCATGGTGGGACATGGGCATGGATGGGGACATGGACATGGATGGGGACATGGTGAGACATGGACATGGATGGGGACATGGACATGGATGGGACGTGGTGGGACATGGACATGGATGGGGACATGGTGGGACATGGACATGGTGGGACATGGGCATGGATGGGGAGGTGGTGGGACATGGACATAGATGGGGACATGGACATAGATGGGGACATGGACATGGTTGGGGACATGGTGGGACATGGACATGGTGGGACATGGACATGGATGGGGACGTGGTGGGACATGGCCATGAATGGGGACGTGGCCATGGGTGGGGACATGGTGAGACATGGACATGGTGGGACGTGGGCATGGATGGGGACATGGCCATGGATGGGGACATGGTGGGACATGGACATGGTGGGACATGGACATGGTGGGACATGGACATGGATGGGGAGGTGGTGGGACATGGACATAGATGGGGACATGGACATGGTTGGGGACATGGTGGGACGTGGCCATGGATGGAGACGTGGCCATGGATGGGGACGTGGTGGGACATGGACATGGTGGGACGTGGCCATGGATGGGGACATGGACATGGATGGGGACATGGTGGGACATGGCCATGGATGGGGACGTGTCCATGGATGGGGACATGGTGGGACATGGACATGGTGGGACGTGGCCATGGATGGGGACGTGGCCATGGATGGGGACGTGGTGGGACATGGACATGGATGGAGACGTGGCCATGGATGGGGACATGGTGAGATATGGACATGGTGGGACATGGTTGGGGACATGGCCATGGATCAGGACATGGTGGGATGTGGCCATGGCTGGAGACGTGTCCATGGATGGGGACATGGACATGGATGGGGACATGGTGGGACATGGACATGGTGGGACGTGGCCATGGATGGGGACATGGCCATGGTTGAGGACATGGTGGGATGTGGCCATGGCTGGAGACGTGTCCATGGATGGGGACACGGTGTCACCTCCATGGCCGTCTGTCCCTTGGTGTCACCTCACCTCCATGGCGTTGGGGGGGCGACCCACGGTGTCCCTGTGGGAAGAGGAGGAGGAGGAGGAAGAAGACACCCATGGTGTGACCCAGTCACACGGGGAAGGAACCTGTGCCCAGGTGTCACCTCACCTGTGGTGTCACCTCCATGGTCCTGATGTCCCATCCCAGGACCCTCAAGTGTCACATCAGGGAGGAGGAGGAGGAGGAGGAGGAACAGGAGGAGGAGGAGGAGGAGGAGGAGGAGGAGGAGGAGGAGGGGAGGAGGAGGAGGAGGAGGAGGAGGAAGGCGCCCAGGGTGTGACCGGGTCACACGGGGAAGGAACCTGTGCCCAGGTGTCACCTCACCTGTGGTGTCACCTCCATGGTCCTGGTGTCCCATCCCAGGGGACATCAGTGTCCCCAAGTGTCACATCAGGGAGGAGGAGGAGGAGGAACAGCAGGATGAGGAGGAGGAGGAGGAGGAGGAGGAGGAGGAGGAGGAGGAGGAGGAGGAGGAGGAGGAGGAGGAGGAGGAGGAGGAGGAGGAGGAGGAGGAGGAGGAGGAAGGCGCCCAGGGTGTGACTGGGTCACACGGGGAAGGAACCTGTGCCCAGGTGTCACCTCACCTGTGGTGTCCCCCCCGGTGTCACCGGCGTGTCCCCAGCGCCATCCCCTCCCCGAGGAGGAGGAGGAGGAGGAGGAGGAGGAGGAGGAGGAAGGCGCCCGGGGTGTGACCCGGTCACATGTGGGGAAGCCGCGACAGGAACCGAGCGCGGCCGCAGCAGCACCGGAGGTACCGGGGAGCGCGGGGGGGGACGGGGCAAAAAACCCCAAAATTCTCCCCAAAAAAAATCCCCAAAAAATGTCCCCAAAGTCCCCTCGGGGGATGCTACGGAGGGGGAGGGGTGGAAGTGACCGAGGGGACCCCAAAATTTTTGTCACCCCCTTCCCCTCCCCCCCTGTCGCGGGAGGATGTGGCCACCCCCCCCCGCATGGAGGTGACAATTGGCGGGCGGCGGTGGCACCAAAAAAGAGCAAAAAAAAGCCAAAAAAAGCAAAAAAAAAAGCGCGCAGGTGGCACCTGGGGGGTGGCACTGAGAGAGGACGGGGGGGGGGGGTCCTGAGGTGCCACCAACGGGGGGGAGGTGACAAAGTGTGGGGGGGGAGGGATGTGGCCACCCCCGTCCCCCCCGCATGGAGGTGACAATTGGCGGGCGGCGGTGGCACCAAAAAAAAGAGCGAAAAAAAAGCGAAAAAAAGCGAAAAAAAAAAAAAAAAAGCGCAGGTGGCACCTGGGGGGTGGCACTGAGAGGGGACGGGGGGGTCCTGAGGTGCCACCAAGGGGGGGGAGGTGACAAAGGAGGGGGGGGGGGGGACGGGACGGGACGGGAAAAGCGGGGGAGGGGAGCGCGGTTGGGGCGCGACGGAAACGGCGCCGGTGCCGCCCGCGCCCGGGGCTCGGGGGTGGCGATGGATGGGGCGGCCTGTCGGTCTGTCCGTCTGTCGGTCTGTCCGTCTGTCCGTCTGTCGGTCCGCCCCTGTGTCCGTCTGTCCCCCCTGTCACTGTGTCCCCCTGTCCCCCTGTGTCCCCGTGTCCCCCCGTCCCTCCCCTGTCCCCCTGTCCCGCTGTCCCCGTGTCACCTGTGCCCCTCTCCCCCGTGCTCCTGTCACTCTGTCGCTCTGTCACCGTGTCCGTCTGTCCCCTTGTCACTGTGTCACCCTGTCCCATATCCCCCCCGTCCCTCCCATGTCCCCCTGTCCCCCTGTCCCCGTGTCACCTGTCCCCCTGTCCCCATGTCCCTCTGTCCCCGTGTCACCTGTGCCCCTCTCCCCCGTGCTCCTGTCACTCTGTCGCTCTGTCACCGTGTCCGTCTGTCCCCCTGTCACTGTGTCACCGTGTCCCCCTGTCCCCGTGTGTCCCCTGTCCCCCCGTCCTTCCCGTGTCCGCCTGTCCCCGTGTCACCTGTCTCCCTGTCCCCATGTCCCCCTCTCCCTCATCCTCCTGTCACCGTGTCCGTCTGTCCCCCTGTCACTGTGTCACCCTGTCCCCTGTCCCCCCGTCCCTCCCCTGTCCCCCTGTCCCGTGTCCGTCTGTCCCCGTGTCACCTGTGCCCCTCTCCCTCGCCCTCCTGTCACTCTGTCACCGTGTCCGTCTGTCCCCCTGTCCCCTGTCACTC